ACAAGGTACTGGAATTCATGAATTCGATTGTTGGTCGGCTTATCTAGTGCCATTATCAATTGGTGAATGAGGGCGATAAACTGACTGCTTGCTCTCGGAATTGTCACGTGAGAAACAAATGGCGAAATGGTTACGCATTGTTATGGCAACCTATCACAATGCTTATATAACGTTGCTTTTTTCATTAAAATTGATGAATGTGTGATATTTTTCGCGTGTGATTTCCATGTCTTACGTTTCAAGTTGAATTAACTATCATCGGATTGAATCCGTATTTAAATTAACCTCAGGTGGAGCTTCCATCTGGGGTGAGGCATCGAGATATGATGCGCAGAGATTTTTAACGTTCAAATCTGTTAATGACGGCGATGAATCTGTTTACGTATTTTTGCAACGTGTAAATAAATCAGATACCAGATGAAGGCCTCACTTCATTAGGTGTGTATTACGATCATTTCGATCGCATGTCATTCGTAGAAAATCATCTGTTCATGTCTGTGAAAGCGTTCGCTACGTACTCACTGTGAGTGGATCGATTATTTCCAGACTTTTATAATTGTTAGTAATATTTTAGTAAAGCTTATCACACAATGTCTGAGGCTATATCAGGAACTGAGCAACAACAGGTCGCAGCTTCATCTTCATCATCAGCTTCTTCTGATGGCCCAGCAAAGAAACCGGACTTCATGGAGCGATTCAAGCAACTTCATCAGCGCAGAGTAAATATTTCATTTCATCAATTTTCAAAACGTTCTCTTGCCGTTGTCAACGGTTAACAAGTGAAACTGTTCATTGGTACAGGTCGGAAAATTATTTTAGTCATTCAAATATACTTCCAGCAAGAATCTCGCAAGCTGAATCACGAGCAAGTGGTCGACGAGGATCGTCGCTCAAAACTGCCCAAAAATTACGAATTGAGACGAAAGCGTCAAGAATGGGAATTACTAGAACTCACAGAAAAAGAGGTCACTTCTATTCTCAATTTCTTTACAGTCAATTTTAAGCAATATCCATTTTTGACGTTACTTTATCAAATGGATTTTATATTTCCTAGCATGCGTTGCGCTATGGTTCGTTCAGATTCTGTTATACCAGTTTTAGTTGGCCTTACGCAGTCATGTAATCCCTGTGAAGCTCTACAAAATAAACTTCATCGTCTCCATTAAAACTTTCAGAAAGCTGAAGAAAGAGGAGAAGACTATGAGCGTCTGAAGGCGCTCAAAACACAGGCCGATTTGGCTGACCGAAAGGAGTTCACGAAACGCAAGAAGCATAATCCGGACAAAGGATTCAGCGGTATACATCAAAATTCAATCTTTTAGTTTCAGTTCTGTTAGTTCCATCGCCAAAAATAACCTTCTCCAGCACATCACGTAGGCGAGCAATGTGTTTTGGTTCCCACTAGCTGATTTCAAAAATTTGAAATTTTTTCAAATTGCTACCTTTCTGTTTCAGATTATGAGACTATGACACTTCGCCAGTATGAACGGCTCTCGGGAAACATCAAACCGGATATGAAGTCGTATGAGAAGATGAAAGAAATTGTGTAGGTTTTTATTTCACCATGTATTATTCATACCATATTCTATGTTTTCACTGTTCACTTCAATTCACCACGCTATATTCTTGATGATTCCAAAACCACTATTTATTGCGGATTTGTTTCAGTTAGTTGCAAATAATTTCGAATACAATCTCTTCGAGTCCATATATTTTTTATTCTATTTACTGTTCGTACGATTTGTATTTTATTCTATTTCATTCGGATGTACTGTTCGTATGATTTGTTGACTCGTAGTCCATAAATAATTGATGCTTTTAGTGGCGAAGAGGAGTTCTATCCAACTTCAAATACATTGATAACTGGATCACACTATCCTACAGATGCTGCGAAAGAGAAATTAGCACAAGATATTAGATCACAGTAAGTTTTTTATCATAGATATCAGCCTAGAATCATTGAAGTGCATAAGCTAGGTGGTTTTTATGTCTTCAATAACCTGATTAAGAAACAGTTTGAGAATGAGCCACAAAATTGGTTCAGTCGACCATGTTATGCAAAACGTTTGTTTGGATGTAGTGAACTATGTCTCTGGCTAAAGAGGGAATACTTTTAACTTGGACTGTGGTGTTGTTTAGGAGATGTTTTTTGAAGCAGATTTGTGAATGAATGTCAGCAAAGAGCATATTT